GCCTGGGTGGCTTAGTCGGTTAAGCGTCCGACTTTCGCTTAGGTCATGATCTCGCGGTTCGTGGGTTCGAGCCCCGCGTCGGGCTCTGTGCTGACTGCAAGCTCAGAGCCTGGAGCCTGTTTCAGCCTGTGACTTCCTCTCTCTCTGACCCTCCCCTGCTCACGCTGTCTCTCTCTCTCTCCTAAAAATAAATAAAACATTAAAAAAAAAATTTAAAAAAAAAAAAAGAAATAAATAAAACATTTAAAACAAAAAAAAAAAGATCTAGACAGTTGAATGCCTTCTAATTGGCCATCCTCCAGTCTCCCCTCTAATCTTATCCTCCACACTGACATGTTTTCCTAAGGTATCACTCAAATCTTGTGTCTACTCTACTAAGAAACCCTGAAGTGCTACAAGATCAAATCCAAACCACCTTCTCCTCCCCAGGCTGGCATTTAGGACCCACTATGGTGAAATCCTGATCCATCCACCCACAACCTCTTTTCATGCTATTCCTAACACATCTCACACTTCTCCTTCATCTACCTTTTTTATCCATTTTTTAAAATATTTCTAATGTTTATTTATTTTCAGAGACAGAGGGGGAGGGAGAGAATGCAAGTGGGGGAGGGGCAGAGAGAGAGAGAGAGAGAATCCAAAGCAGGCTCTGTGCTGTCAGCGCAGAGCCCAATGTGGGCTCAATCTCATGAATCATGAGATCATGACCTGAGTCAAAATCAAGAGTCAGATGCCTAGGCAAGTAAGCCACCCAGAAACCGCTTTACTATTTACTTTTAAGTAATCTCTATACCCAGTGTGGGGTTCAAACTTACAGCCTCAAGATAAAGATTCAAACACTCTATCAAATGACCCAGCCAGGTGCCCCTCCCCTCTATCTATATGAACCCTATCCTTCAAAGCCTGACTTAAGTACCATTATTCTGAAAATCCTTCCCAGGTCTGGTCTGAAAGAGGAGAAGCTGTTGGTTTGAGGAGTAATGGGACCGAGTGGTATTTAGGGAAATGAATCCACACCTCAGCAAAGCCTTCCTGGTCTCCCAATCTGTATGAATCTCCTCTCTCACCTCTGAACTACAATACTTATCATTTTTTTTCTCCTTCAAGCCCACTTTATTGAGATAAAACTGACATATGACATTGTGTAAGTGTAAGGTGTACAACGTGATGATCTGACACGTGTATATGTTGCAAAATATTTACCACAATAAGGTTAGTTAATACATCCTTCACTTCACATAATTAACCATTTTTGTGGTGGTAGTGGTGGTGGTGAGAACATTTAAAATCTACTCTCTTGGGGCGCCTGGGTGGCTCAGTCGGTTGAGCGTCCGACTTCAGCTCAGGTCATGATCTCGCGGTTCATGGGTTCGAGCCCCGCATCAGGCTCTGTGCTGACAGCTAGCTCAGAGCCTGGAGCCTGTTTCGGATTCTGTGCCTCCCTCTCTCTCTGATCCTCCCCTGCTCATGCTGTCTCTATCTCTCTCTCAAAAAAATAAAAATAAAAATATTTTTTAAAAAAATAAATAAAATAAAATAAAATCTACTATCTTAAGGTTGCCTGGGTGGCTCAGTCGGTTAAGCATCTGACTTCGGCTCAGGTCATGAGCTCATGGTTTGTGAGTTCAAGCCCCACATTGGGCTCTGTGCTGACAGTTCAGAGCCTAGAGCCTGTTTCGGATTCTGTGTCCCCTGTCTCTTTGCACCTACCCTGCTCACAATCTGTCTCCCTCTCTCTTTCTCAAAAAATAAACATTTAAAAAAATCTATTCTCTTAGCAACGTTTAAGTATACAATACAATATGGCATCATTAATTATAGTCACAATGTTGTATATTTGATTTCCAGAACTTAATTTTCTCATAACTGGAAGTGTGTACCCTTTGACCAACATCTCCCCATTTCCCCTACCACACAACCCCCCATAACCACCAATCTATTCTCTGTTTCTACAAGTTTGGCTTTGTTAGAGTCCACATATAAGTGAGATCATACAGTGTTTGTCTTTCTCTGTGTGACATATCTCTCTATATATACAGATACAGATAGCTATAGAGACAGGTGATATATATGTATCTATGTCTATCTATCCATCTATCTATCTATCTATTGAACCAATATAAGTTAAGTTGGAAACAGATTACAGAAGGCCTTGAATGCCATGCTAAGCTGCTGAATTTTACAGAACATATTTAAGCTGACAAGTGATAAGATGAAGGGAGTGTTTGAGACACCTGGGTTGCTCAGTTGGTTAAGCGTCTGACTCTTGATTTGGGCTCAACTCATGATCTTGTGGTTTGTGATTTCGAGCCCCGCATGAAGCTCTGCACTGTGTCAAGGTGGAGCCTGCTTGGAGGTCTCTCTCTCTCTCTCTCTCTCTCTCTTTCTCTCTCTCTCTCTCTCTCTGCCCCTACCCTGTGTGCTCTCTCTCTCTCAAAATAAATACACTTTTTAAATTAGAAGAAAAAAGATTAAGAGAGTGTTTTGGAAAATCAATCTAGTGCTGTGCAAAATGAATT